GACGATATATAATATAAATTCGACGATTGTACAAATTAGACGATACATTATATAAATATAGAATATTTATAATATCAGGTATTCTATTAGTATATTGTAATAATTAGACCAAATTATTAGACAAACTGTAGTTTTTTAATAATTATATGTTTTGCACGAGTTTATAGGCAATGCTTTTATGTTTAAACATACATGTAATGGGTTTTTTTTTAAAGAGATTATTTTATATACTTCCCATTTGTATTTATTTTTAACGTACTGCATTACAATGTTAACCAACTGATACACGAACATAGAAAAGTGCAAACCGCGTAAAAACAATAAAGCTGTATAGTATCACCTGATAATTAAGATTTTACATAGAATCTTCTTCTAATAATTTGACCAGGGACTTTATTTTGTTTACTTCTGAGAAAGATTACAGTGATGTTTAGATTGGAATAAGAACTAGTGTTTTATTGGTCACAGGTAAAACCGGAGTTACGGAGGAAAACGTGGCAAATTTACTACCAGCCGCGGATCAGTTTTGCGTCGATGGAATGATAGAAGATTGCAGCCATTTTTTAATCGAGAGGATGAACTGCGAGAATTGCATCGGCATCGGACAATTTGCGAGATGTTACTTCGTATTTAGTCTGGAGACAACAGTATATTGGTATAGAAAACTTTGGTATAATTTTATTGGATGCTCAACTTAACGTTTGTTCTCTATTAAATTTCGACAGTGTTTACGTTTCCGGTAAAGTTCGAAATCCGGCATGGAATACCTAGGCATTGTATGCTCAACTTAACGTTTGTTCTCCATTAAATTGCGACAGTGTATATGTTTCCGACAAAGTTCAAAATATGGCATTCTATGGAATACCTAAGCATTGTATGCTCAACTTAACGTTTGTTCTCTATAAAATTGCGATAGTGCATACATGCTACCGTCAAAAGTTTGAAATCCGGCATTCTATAAGATGCCTAGGCATTGTATATAATTCCATAAAACTAGCCGGTAAAGTATTAAACAATTTATATTTCCCACATTTCCTAGGCATTCTATAGAATGCCAAAAAAGAAACCGGCAAAGTACAAAATGTATCTCCGATTCTTTTCGTAATGTAATTCAAAATGTCATTAAAGCCTGCCATGTTGCAACAAGTAGGTTAATTTCTTATTTTTTATATGAAAATTTTGTTTCACTTCCTTTTGTTCTAAGAAAGGCATAAATTATGTTTTGTACAACTTTCATTTTACTTCACGCATTTTGAATAAATTTTTTTTTAATGGCACTCTCATTATTTTTTCAGAATAACATTTTTATTTTTGAGAAATGCTCATCATTTACGCAATAACCTCATCAGGACGTTTTTTTTTTCATACTCTGCCTGAATAGCATTTGTCATTCTATAGAATGGCTAGGTATAACATACAATGCCCAGGGAAAGTACGTAATATCTCATATTTCGTTCCTTGCCTAAAAACAACCGGCATTCTATACAATGTCTATATGCATTCTATAGAATGTCGGCGTTACATACTTTGCCGGTAACATATAGAAAAATGTACAGGGGCACGATGGAATAAAAAAATTTCAGCACTTGATAATTAATTGGAGAATCAGTAATTATTAAACAGGTATTAAAAAACGCGTAGGCCGTTGAAATGCAACAACAGAGAAGAGCCCAAAAAAGGCGCCTGGTCAGAACCAGTGACTGCTATAATGTTGTTAAGGAACCTTTCTTTTGCTCAGAATGAATAGCAGAGCTTAGTAAGATGAAGGTGACATTTTAGTAAATTTAAATCAATCTTTATTGTTGTTACTTAGGACATGAAGACTTGGTCATTTATATTAGGACATTTCCAATTGGCAAAATCTGTAAATCACTAACACTCATTTAAGTTGTGTACTTCATGATATTCGTAATCTCGGCGAGTAATTTTATAGCCAAAATACCCAGGCTATCTTAAGATTATTCTTTGGCCCTTTATTGACAAATGCACTTGTAACATTCCTTTACTCCAAAATCACTCAGATTGTCTTTTTGGATCTTCGGTTATTTTATAACCGTCGTTAGACATAAGACCCAATTTTTTGATTTGCGACTACTAATGTTCAACGCCGTAGCCTTGTAATTTTGAACACGATTCAGAAGACTTGTTAACTCCTGGATCAATTATTGGAAGAAATTTTCCGGCCAGGAGGACTTTTTGATGGAATTAACCAGCATTTGCGTTACATGGAGAGGAAAACCACGAAAACTTCCTATGGTTAGCCTGACGTCAAGGGGACTCTAACAAATGATCTGTCTACCACTGACGATATTTTACGTCAACGCTGCGGTCGGTGTGAGCCATGTGCGGAATTTGTATCGACCCACCATCGCTGGGATTCGAACTCGGTTAAACTTAATTGGAAGGTGAACTTTCTATCCCCTGAGCCTCCATCTTCGTTTATTGAGATTTTTGGAAATAAGAGTAAAATAAATAAACGAAAAAATTTATATTTTAAAGCTAAGTCTAATATATATATATATATATATATATATATTACTTTTTTAAAAATATTTTATTTATTGATAATTTTTCTTTTTCTCTTTAAAAAAATATAAAAAAATATTAGTTTCGTATAATAATTTGTATAACAATTACACAATTATTAGTTTCGTAATAAATATTATGGTGAAATTTAACAATAACTATTAATGATCGTTATTCAAGCNTATATATAATATTAACGGCAAGTACTGAACTTTTCGTTTTTCACCTAGAAATATGCCGAAGGCGTTACTCATTTAACGTTACCCAGTGGTCACGCCACGGAGGCAAGCAACATTACCCACGCCACAGATACCTGTTTTAGAGGGTGGGCCACATTCCGACAATAGAGAACACACAGAGAGAAACATCCGTGCCCTCAGCGAGATTTGAACCCGCAACCATTGGCTTCACAGTCAGGCACGCTGACCGCTCTGCCACGGCTGGCACTTTCTCCGATGTAATAAAAAAAAAATTCTATCAAATTTGCCTAAAACTGCTTTATTCCTCCAACGGTCTTTCTTTTGGTTTGGTTTTGAGTAAATTCTTTTTCACAACGTTTTGAAGTCCCGCAGTGGACTGATCGTTAAGACACGGTTCCCAGCAAATCACCGAAGTCAAGCATCACTGGCTACGGTCAGTGTGCGGGTCGGTGACCACTTGGATCAGTCTGCGTAGGGACCGAGGGTGTGCGGTATTGGTCCTCGTTAAACTGTGCTACCGTAAAGTGCTCGACTTCGTGCGCAGGTCGTCGGGCTACCGAAGCGGGGATGCCATCCCTTCCGCAGAGGATCAAAATTGTGATGGCATGTCTTCGGATCATCCTCCGGGATGTTTCCCAGACCGTCGCCAATAGCCCATTGTGCAGCTCTAGTGCGACGTAAAGTAACAACAACAACAACAACGTTTTGAAAGTGTATTTCTCATTTTATATGATTAGTTTGAATGGTTAACGCGGAAGTGCTTTTGACTTAAACAGAAGTTTTTTTTTCCTCTGTAATTTGCGATAGAGATCTAATCTATTTCAATTCTAAAAGGTACTTGATGAGCCATTTTGTCGAAGTAGTTCGGAAGAGTGAAGACTTCTTGGAATTGCCTCTGCAAGATGTTATTAAATTGCTGAATTCTGACAGAATCAATGTGCGCAGCGAAGAGACAGTTTGGGAAGCTGGCATCCGTTGGATAGACCACAAGTAAATGAACTTATAATTTACAAAATGCGAAGAAAATTGTTTTTTTACTTATCATTTGGCATAATGGGTCTTGGTTTGGGTTTGATGCCATGCACATCTTGTTTGGACGTCATCACACTTTTCTACTGTATTCAAGAGTAATAGTAAACAGTGAGCATGCGTCGTCATTGCATGCGTTGCAATGGCGACTGCTGCTGTTTGATAATTTTTTTAAAATTCTTTTTTTCACTTTTAATTTTGCTATGAATTAAGTTGGTGAGTTTATTTTTGAGACATGGGACAAGAGAGATCCCATAAATACTTCTTGAGTTGCGAATAAAAGAGAATTTCATCATTTGAACGATATATATATATATATTTTATTCAAATAAATATCTGTAAAATATTGTTCCAATAGATGAGTTAGGAAAACTATCGAAATTTTGGACGCTCATTATATAATGCTTCCCACTTGCTCCGTACACCGTCCCTCTAAATTGATTCTCCTTTATCATTTTTTTTTTTTTAAATTCGAAATTATTTTAAAAAGAGAAGAGATATTTTGTAAAAAATTTATATCTTTATTATAATTTTTTTTTGTAAGCACATTTTGTTAATATGTTAATCGTAACAAAATAATTGATTATATGGATTTTCTTTAAGAACTAAGGAAAAAAAAGAAGCACGAATGGAAGAAAAGTTAACACGTTAACGATATATATATATATATATATATATATACAGGGTGATTCTGNTAATGATTTCCAAGGGGAAAAATTTTAGGAAGTGATAGTACACACCCAGACAAACAATTTTTATCAAAGAATGCATAGTCGAAAACAAAACCCAAAACCGCTAGAGGGCGTCGAAGTTTATGTTCTTATATGAGGCGAAAACACCCAAAGATGACGATGAAGTTAAGTTATAAAAGCAAATTTAATGGCATGTGATTACAATAAGTGCTCAAAACAGTGGCCGGCAGCGGCTATGCTGGTACAACGGCGAAGAGAAGATAGGCGAACTTTCCCTGCAGCGTCCGAAAGCTTGGCGACAAATAACGTAGCGCAGTAACTCGCAATAGGAATGGAGCTTTCTCGTTTGCATGAAAAAACTTTCCAAATGCGCCAGCACCTTTGCGTTTTGTTTTCGACCATGCATTCTTTGATAAAAATTGTTTGTCTGGGTGTGTACTATCACTTCCTAAAATTTTTCCCATCTTTT